GGGGGGGTGGTGGAAATCAGACCAAGGCAAGTGTAACAGTCCTCCTGGTAACATCTACTACATACTTTGTTATCTGGGCAGCTGGAATGTTCACTGGTTCATTCAGCAGTCACTGATCTATTAACACATGGGCTGAAGGGCACTTTCCAAGGCTTTGATGTGTGCTGCACTTTTTGGGGTTGGACTCGATAACTTTTGAAGGTCCCTTCCAACCCAAACTATTCTATGATTGTCTGTTTTTCAGAAGTAAAAAGGGAACAGTCAAACATTACCATGTACGTAAGACTCCTGAGAACAAGTACTACCTCGCTGAAAATTACTGTTTTGAATCAATTCCCAAGCTTATACATTACCATCAGCACAACTCAGCTGGTAATCCCATATGCTCTTTCTACTTAATTTGCTTTGGCTTAGGGTGTTTCTTACATTATGCTGACTCCCTTCCAATACCCAGTACTCTAAATATTGAAACACATTTTAGGAAAGTTTGGGTGGAACTTGATCTGACATATTCACCATCAATATAGTTGCTTTCCTTTACTGTACAGTGCTTTTTGTTATTGCAATACTATCCTGTAAGCACAGAAAAATTTCAATCTTGCCTAATGGTGCAGAAGCTGCTGAATATTGAATATTTGTCATTACCTGGATGGTTTTAATATGGCAGGGAGAGGGAGGTATTAGTTTCCCTGTATCTTCTGTGATTTCAGAATACTCTGTATATGTTGTGACCTTTAATGGGTTTTCTTTGTAGGTATTGTGTCAAGGCTCCGGCATGCAGTGTCTACTCAAGTAAACAAAGTCCCAGCCACAGCTTCATTAGGAAATGGTACAAAGATATCTTTCCTTTATGAAATTGCTATTGGTATTAGCTACCAAGAAAAGAATAACCAGAGAATCAAGACTCTTACTGCTTTCAGGCTTACAGGAGGTTACAGGATATTTGGTGGCCATTTCTGCTTTCCCATGCAGGAAGCAATGTGAGAATATGAGAAAGATGGTCCTTCCGTCAACTGCTCCTTCTGTAGTTTCCTCTTGTCCAGTGTAGCAATGAGACTTTATGATTCTATGAAACAGGGTATCCTTCCCTACAAATGCACCTAGTCTACACCCAGGGCAAGGTGAATGTAAAGGTATTTTATATCAACTTTTATGTTGTGCCCTTTTTAAGGCATTGTATGTCAGGTCTTATATTACTGTGCGAGACCTTGCATGCTTCCTTCTCCAGCATATCCAAGTCACGGCCATTCTTTCCCTTTTCCACATTACCTGGCTCAAAAATACTTCTTCTCCACTCTCCTGTTTGAAAAGATATCATTTGATTCATGAATCTTTCTCAAATCTATTTATAAGGCTTAAACCTAAGTAGTAACAAAATACAATTTTAGGAAGTGTAGTCTCCTTCCATAACTAAAACACAAAGCTGAGAGGCAGGTATGTTGCTTCAGTGCTGCATGGTTCTCCAAGTCTCCAGAGAAAACAACAGCATTGTGTGTAGGGAATATTGTGTGTAGGCAAGATCACCCACACACATATCATGGTTTGAGGTGGCTTTTTTGCTAAAGAAATTTCTTTTGTCCCACTAGGAATCTGGGAGCTGAAACGAGAAGAAATTGTTCTGTTGAGAGAGCTAGGAAGTGGACAGTTTGGAGTGGTGCATCTGGGAAAGTGGAAGGGAAAATATGATGTGGCCATAAAGATGATTAAAGAGGGAGCAATGTCAGAAGATGAATTCATAGAAGAAGCTCAGACCATGATGTAAGCTATGGCATTGCTTAATTATTTGGAAATAATGATCTCTCCAAACATTAATCAGTAATGTATAGTGCACGAAGGAAAGAGATTTTCCTCTTAAAAATAGCATTAAGTAATGGTGCGTACATTTAGCACAGGCTAAATAGGTAGCCACGCAGAACATATGAAGTATTACCAAAAGAATTTCACAAAGATTGATAGAGTCATCTATGAACTTTTCAATCAACGTCTCCTCCATAACTTCAGATTTTCCACATGTCACTTAGAATGATGTTGCATTGGCATTTATAGAGAAACTGTTAGAAAGCTGTTCCCCTCATCCTGCAGGTAGGAATGAGAGACAGATGAATAACTGGGAAATGCCAGAAATATGACTTGAAGTTTTAGTCACTGACTCCAAAGAGGTAAAGATGTTAGAATTTCCAGTGAAATTCCATGAGATGGTAATTGAAGCATACAAGTTGAAGAATGTTTTGGATATCTCATATCCTAAGGAATACACTGCACCACTGTCAGTTAACTAGCTGATATGATCAGGATTCTGAGCCTGAAAATTCTGCAACCTGTTTTTAGTAGAAAACTTTAAGGTCTAAGGTCCATCGCACCAACTCAGATCAATTTCCTCCTACCATTAAGTCTGCCCCTTTGTGCTGCTGAATCCTATTTCAAGTTTTGACTATAACATTGTAATTTCATCAATGCTGACTCTTCTTTTGATTGTCATCAATACTGAGTTTCAAAGTAATGAGCAGAAGTACACTCAGTTCTTCTTGAAAAGGAATATTTGAAGTCTGATATGGGACTGTATGCACTTTCAAGAATTTCAGTACATTGTGTTGATTTTGAAGAATAAAACTTAAAATATGCACAATAATCTCTATTTATCCTTTGGTTATTTTATATTTTTCTTCTGTATTTCAGGAAACTTAATCATCCCAAACTTGTTAGACTGTACGGTATATGCTCAAAATCATATCCCATCTATATAGTGACGGAATACATGCCTAATGGCTGTTTGCTTAGTTACCTAAGGAGTCATGGGAAGGAACTACAACCTTTTCGGCTTCTGAAAACTTGTTATGATGTTTGTGGTGCTATGGCATTTCTGGAGAGGTGTCAGTTCATACACAGAGATTTGGTAAGCTATCCCACAGGAGAAGTAGAACAGGCATGGTATGGGATTTCACCCAACACTGGTCAGACCTACCCCTCAGGATCATTCACTGCTGCACTGGCTCTGCTGGCACTCATCCCAAACAGCATTGTGGTCTGCTGAATATAGACACCCAGCTGGCTTCATACAAGGCAGCTCTGGATGAGCAGCACTAAAGCCATATAAACAGCACTGCCCACAAACTAATATGCTCTGCTTCAGAGTGGAGCTGAGAGGTCTACAGCAGTGCATACCATGCTGCCTGCATTTATAGGCTCTAGACTCAGGGATTTATGCCCCACTTGGCAGCACTTGACATCCAATTGTAAAATAGTCCACTGAAGTAAAGAGTTCTGTGAACCCAGTCAAATTTCTGGTTCATTGTGCTTCAGAGTCAGTAGCAGTATTTTGCCTTCTAAATAAAAGTATTATGAAAGATTTGTGACAATTATGTCAGAGGCTCGATTAATTTTCCAATAGGGGTGCAGTTTCCTCAGGTAGCATTTTAAATGTCTTACTGAAGCTTTAAAAGAATTGTCTTTATGTGTAAACAAAGTTGTTAAATCCATACCTCACCAATTTTCACACCCTGATTCAGAAATCAGGAATATCAGACAACCTAAGTAACAGAATTCAAACTGGAAATATAAAGTCGGTTTCCCAAAAACTGGCTGTGCACCATGGGAAAACAGAAATAAAACTTGAATTCAGGTTCAAAACTGTACATGCAAATTGTATCACAGAAACTAATAAGCATGCAGGCAGTGAATACAGACTTAGATAAATGTTCTGAAGTGATCATTTGCAGAACTAGGCTTATATCAAACTTTTCATTAATCAAGCTGTTTAAATCACTTTTCTTTGCTCCACTCTGTTTATAGTGCATTGCCAATAATCCAGTCAATGTTTTTGACTTTTTGATGCCTTGGTAAATTCTGAGACTAATGAAAAGGACCCTAGAGTAGGACACCATTTGAAAGACAAGATTTAGTTTTTAGCTCTGATGCTGGTCTTCCAGGTGAAAGAGGGTTTCTCACCTGTTTCCTTATCCCTCAATGTCCTTATATGTAAAGCTGGGATAATGGTACAGAATGTTTTTCAATCAAGTCAAAAATTAAATGAGAGCTACTAACTGTTCCCTTACAGTTCCAAACTTAATTGCTTCAGTCAAAGAATGTCATTATTCGTTCAAATGGATGAATAGAGGACAAAAAATATTACTAGCCAATTACCAAGACATGACATTATTTTCTCCTCTTCAGTTTTTTTCCACTCATTTATTTTGTCATTTCTTTTCTACAGGCTGCTAGAAACTGTTTGGTTGACAGCAGTCTCACTGTGAAAGTATCTGACTTTGGGATGACTAGGTAAGTTGAAAAATTGGGAGCCTTGTGAAGCTATGATGTATGTGTATATAGTTTACTGGCATTGATCAGCTAGCAACTGGCTGTTAGGAAAGTTCAGCCACAGAGGGTGATACAGCTCTTTGTGTCTCCTTCCCATTAATAACCATAAACCATTATGCAGTTAGAATAACGTCATCCTGCTGTATCAAAAAATAAAGGCTTAAAGGCCAGTCACAGCTGAGATATTTCACTAGCCATGTTTGTTAAAGAAATCTCAGAGTTTACTTTGTGTACAAGATTTTCACCTAATTTGGGGGCCAAACATTTAATCAGCAGCCTCAAAGGAGAGAATTTGGAGACGATGATTAGCCTAGAGAATATGTCCTCTGAGAAGAGGCTGAGGGAGCAGGCTGCTTTGTCTGGTGAAGAGAGGGCTGAAGGAATCTAAAAGCTGCCTACAGCTACTTACTGTTACAAAGCTGATGGAGCCAAGCAAGTCTTCAGCCACAATCTGTAGTTCGTGAAGATCAAGGTGGACAGTAAGAGAAGTTGTTTCCCGGGGAGGGCAAAATGTGTCAGGCAGACTATGTCATTGCAATCTTTGGAGGCTTTTAAGACTTGGCTACACAGATCCATGCCTGACCTGATCTGATGTTCAGAGTGATCCTATCTGAGCAGGAGGCCTTATAAGAGGCATTTCTATGATTCTGAAATATTTCCCTAATAAATAGATAGTGATTTGTCCTATGTATTACAGATAATGCCTCTATCGGGTATCCTTTGGAAATTTGGGATCCTTCCCAGGCTTTTAGGAACTTTGTGATGTACAAGGAAGAAGCAGTAAATAGTATTTCACTATAAGTCAGTCACAACCAAGTTTGGTTCTTGCCTTGTAGGTCTGTTCTGGATGACCAGTATATAAGTTCACTAGGAACCAGGTTTCCAGTAAAGTGGTCAGCACCAGAAGTTTTTCATTACACCAAATTTAGCAGCAAATCAGATGTATGGGCCTTCGGTACGTATGAAATTTGACATGTGAATATGTATGCATATATGCCATTACGTTTGGATTTCCTCAGCTTACTAAGCAGAAATGCTAGACATTTACACACTGAAGGAACATAAAAAGTAGTTACAGCTTATGTTCTTGTTTAACAGTTTTACATATCCAAGCCCTATTCTCTTCAGATTTTTCTAATCCTACTGTTTTTCCTCTAGGCACATAAAAACTGTCGACTCCCCATTTACCATTTATGTATGTGTTTAATATGGTAAACTAAACTGTTGACAGTGGAGATCAAACAGTATCTTTGGTGTATCTAGGCCACAAATCAGTGCTGTCCAACTCAAAAGAACTTTTCTGTTAGTCACAGAGGTCAGAGTGGACTTTGTGCATAAGCCAGCTGTGGAAGAGAGTCTGGGTGAGGTGGGACTGTGTATCTCAACAAAAATAAAACGTGTTTGCAGATCACTTTCTACCCAGGAATTTCAAACATTTGAACTTCTACATCACTGCTTTTCAAGCTATGATTTACAAATCCCTGGAGTCTGTTCAGTGTCTCTAAAAGCCTGCAAATGGTGTCAAAGGGAGCCTTTTGTGAACAGGCTTAAATTCCACTTACATGGATTTGTTCCTAAAGTAGGAATTATTTTTGCAGCTGTCAAGCTGATGAAAGATTGGCAACCCACTCTTCTTGACATTGAATAATGGTGAATAAAGCAGATGAAACTGTTTCCAAATGCTGGGCAGCTTCTCATCTTTAACTTCAGCTAGTGTCCCAGTATTAACAACTCTGCAAGAGAAACAGCTCATTCACGCCCTTTACAAGTTGTTTATAATATATCTGATTAAATCAGAAGTTGGATTTTCTGGTGATAATTTTTCTTTTTGCTCTTATCAATGAAATCCTGGCTCCAGGCTTTATTGTCGTGAACTTCAATATTGGCATTAACTTCAATGAGAAACGTTATTTTTCCTTAGACGATCTTTCCTCATTTTAACACTATCCACTGATGAAGTGGAAGCAAGGAAAGAGAGCATCAGTTCTTGCTTGGTTGTTTTTAACTAATGAGTCTTTAAAGGGCTAATGAACTGATGTATTCATATTCCAAAAGCAGAGAACAAATAACTTCTTGTTTAAAAGTTCTCATCAGGGAAAGCTGGGATTCAGGTACCATTTTATTCTGATCCACCTGTGATACTACAGTGCTGCAGTCTTCAAGCTGGAGGGAAATCAAAAATCCAAGAAATTTGGTTAAAAAAAAAAAATCACTGCTGGCAGTATTACATATGATTGTGAATAAATATTTCACATTCTTTTTGCTTTAGGGTTGGCATGATTATCACATATGTTCAGTTACAACAAAAATTGTTTCTTGAAAAGCTATCATTATGAATTAATGATTATGATTCAGTATAATGCAGTTTTCATAAGTATGTGTAGCTGACACTATAAAGTACTTGGCAATTTTTCTGATATGTCCCACCAAAAAAAAAAATCAGGTACAATTTTTATTATTATTCTATAAAAACATAGATACCTGTAGCTGTCATTTTGTTTTTCTTCCCTCTCCCTGTGTACACACACATACATACATAAGGAGATGTTTGTATGTATTTTGTAAAAAGTTCAGTCCATGGATAGCTATGGCTTGGGATTTCTCCATCATCGTCCACATTAGATATATTTATAACTGTCTTTATCATCTAACTTTACCTTCTTCTGTAGTAGGAGTTGTTTTACATTTGGGTACAGAATCACATTTGTCAGTCATATCTGTACTTTTCTTTGGAAAATATTCTCTATAAAGTGACTGATCAGTTATATGTTGAATGTGTGTCTTGTTCTGGGAAAAAGGACTTATTTTCCATTTCTTGACTCTTTATTTGTCTTCCATTGCCATGAAAATTTTTGCAGGTATCTTAATGTGGGAGGTGTTCACGTTGGGAAAGCAGCCCTATGAGCTTTATGATAACATGCAGGTGACTGAGAAAGTTTCTCAAGGATACAGACTTTATAGACCACAACTGGCTTCAGACATCATCTACCAGATAATGTACAACTGCTGGCATGAGGTATGTAAATCTACAAACTGGAGAAAACAAAATAGTAAGAGTCATTAGGAACCTCTCTTGATAGCTGAACTGATGTTCATAGTGGAAAATATCCCTTACAAAGCCATTGCTCGTATGTAGTATATTCTATATATCAGCGTAATTCAGGACATTGTTAGTACAGGAAACAGGCCACAAAGAAAGATTGGCTCCCTTTTATCACAACCATGTATTCTGCAAATAACAATAAATGCCCTTCAACATCAACATGATACATTGGATGAGATTCTTCTCACCTAATTTTAATAGTTTAAAGTTTGGGTGCTGAGCTAAGCTGACTGTCTAAATTTCTCCCATGATTACAGGACCATTACTGGTACCTCTTTGTGGTCATTTGTCATTTCTATCTCAGCCACCACATAATAAAACATATGTGCTTTCTTATACACATATCTTAAACAGCAAATGTAGATAAGACCTCTGCCTTTTTAGATAGCTAAAGTTCTGTGAAGCAACCCCCCACCCTTAGAATGAGAAGGATGTGTTACCACTTCAGTGAGTCTTCTAGGAGTTGTAAGTCAAATGCTGATCGTGCTCATTTTGTTTTGATATCTGCATCTTCTGCACCAAGAATTACCCTGTTTTATTGTTCCTCTTCATCAAAATTTTATTCAGCTGTCTGTGGACAACGGCTTGTTTCTCACCAGCAGCAAAGAACTGTTTGGAACATTAGTGGTGATACCATGAAATGACAGTGATGTTTGGCGTTTTTTTAATATAAATGTTAAAAAAATGAGAAAAATAACTTACATTTGAGGAAATGTTAATGCAAAGAAAGATTAAACTATCACAACATAAGACATATAAAAAGTAACTTTAATTTTCCTTACCTCATAGTCATCACTGTCACTACAAATTTCTGCATGTTAAAATCAGGAAAAACTAATGCAAATTACAGACCCTGAATGATTTCAAAATTAAATAACCATATCCATCATCTTTGCTTCATTTAGCTACCAGAAAAGCTCCCTGCCTTTTATCAACTCTTATCTTTTTTTGAGGCACTGAGAGAAGACAACAGAGCTTGAAAAAGAAGACTACATACTGGTTCCATATCATCTGTCTTCTGTATGAGAGCTAAATCTGAAATCTGCCTGCCATTAACTACCCCTACTATTCTGTATGTTAGTGTTCTTCTCATTTAATCAGCATATTGAAGAAAGAAGCAATTGGAGAAAGCTTTTGTGACACTCTGTAGGTGACAGAATTTGCAAGGATACTGTCGTGGTTCAAGCCCAGCCGGCAACTTGGAACCACGCAGCCGCTCGCTCACTCCCCCCCTTTTCCTTCCTCCCCCCGCTCCCGGAGGGATGGGGAGGAGAATTGGAGGAATGTAACTCCCACGAGTTGAGATAACAGCTCTCCAGTAACTAAGGTATAATACAAACCACTACTGCTACCAATAATAATGATAAGAGGAATAACAAGGGAAAAGGACACAACCGCTCACCACCCGCCGACCGATACCCAGCCTGACCCGAGCAGCGATCTGGGCCTTCCGGGTAACTCCCCCCAGTTTATATACTGGGCATGACGTGCTGTGGTATGGAATACCCCTTTGGCCAGTTTGGGTCAGGTGTCCTGTCTCTGCTTCCTCCTGGCTTCCCCTCCTCTCTGGCAAAGCATGAGACTGAGAAAGTCCTTGGTCAGAGTAAACATTACTTAGCAACAACTAAAAACATCGGTGGTATCAGCATTGTTCCCAGACTGAAAGTCAAAAACACAGCACTGCACCAGCTACTAAGAAGGAGAAAAAAAATGACTGCTGTAGCTGAACCCAGGACAGATACTTAGGTAGAATATAATTCATTTTGTTAGCATTGTCTCAAAAGACTTCTCAGACACTGAGATATATATTCCATTTGTGTACACTCCTTCAGTACTTCGAGCAGTCATTATTTCGCCTTAACTGGAAATGTAAACAAGGAAATATATGCTTGTTAGGTTTTCTGATTATCACCTGAATGTGTTTTTTTCTCTGTAATCACTTGAAACTGATTCCTGAAGTAAGTCAAATTTCGAACTGCTGCAAGTGACAGAAACACAGATAGTTATAGTCTTACTTTCAATTACTTAGAAATTACTACTGGTAAAATATTATATGTTTGCTTACCAGCACTATTGACTTATGTTTCAGTCCTCAAGGTGTACATTTGATTTGGAATTTATTCTAAGCTACATATCTAAGATATCTGCAACTTAGTAACATATGAGGTATTTACTAGAGTGTTATTGCTTCCTGCTACAGGTAAAAATAGAGAAAAAATGTTTTATGAAGAATTACTTAGTCATTGCAATAGCAAATAGTGGATTTGCTGATCTCTATAAAACCTGAAGAGACCTAAAAATGCTATTAATATAATTGCTTTGCTAAATACTTTACTACTGAGGAGGTGAGATTTGGCACCTGACTTTAACACTGAAATAAGAACACTCAACTTCCAAATGTGCATAGCACTGCACAAATTAGTGCTAACTTCAGTAAGTCTAGAGATACCAAATACATCTGAAGTTATATAACAGAGGCATCTAAACTTAGACACTGATGTTTATAAAATGCTGGTCTAGTATGTGTAAAATAAAGGGGGTTTAAAATCAAGTAAAGTCTGAAAAAAAGCCTCTCCTCTCTACTTATATTTGAGCTTGTTCAGCATGTGATACCTCTAAGAGTCCAAGTGACGTCTGCTTGCCCTTTCTGTGATGGAGCTGGCTCTATCCTATCAGGGACACTTCTGCAGCTCCAGTTTTAGCTCACATGAACGTAAGGAATAAGAAATACAAGGTGCAGACAGGTGGGGAGAGGGGAGAAGGAAAGTAAACCAGAGGTTCCAGCACCAGGGCTCACTGCATTGCCTGGTCCCAGCACTAGAAGCTTGCTGGTAGAGCACATCCCTGTCTGCGTTGGGAGCTGTGAGCGTGTCTGAGGGAAAGCAGCATTTAGGGTCATGCAAATGACTGTGGGGATCTACACAGGCCTGGGAGGCCATAGGAGGCTGCACATGATGGAGAAGTAGGTGCATGGTATGATGCTGCCTATGCATCAAGCTGTGCCAAGGAGTGCTGATCCAGAGAAAGGGTCAGAAAAGAGTGCTGACACAGGCAAAATTTGAAAGAAGGGTGACCCCACAGCACAGAGGGTATGAGGTATTTTTGGGGCTAATGTATGTGGTTGATTTTTTCAATATAAACATTTTATTTCTGTTCTTCCAACATCCTGCTGTATTTTTTTAGTGGCTTTATTTGTTGACAATTCTGAATGGTGTTTTTTGATTCATAGCACAGCTTTTAAAATTAATTGCTTGAAATGAAAGCTTTGCCTTAATGGAAATGTTAATCTTAACAACAGATCTGAAGATGGTTGGCATGACTAATTACATTACTTGATTTTTTCCAGCTCTGCCATTCCCTTTTTCTGTTACTGCACATTAAGTGGGAAGACCACATATAGTTGAATTATTTATCTTAAAAGTTCAGCTAAAGTACTAAGGTTTGGGGATGTTATGGCAATGGGATATGTGGTCTGTAGGCAACTTAGCAAAAAGTTATTTTTATTGCTTTACATTCCTGTCTAGTTTGCAGTTAATCGGTATCATCTGCCTACCATCTGAATTGTCTCATTTAAGGGTTTTGTATCTTAAATATGAAGTGAGACTGGAACATTAGGATAGTGTTTTGTGAGTCCACAGAGTCCAACTGTATGTTTTCAGATATATGTTTGGCAGCTTTCTACAGTTTCTGATCATTTTGGAGGCACATGATTTTAAGACCCTATGCATTTGTTGAATGCTTTCATGCAGACTCGTGTTTGCTACTAGCTTTTTGTCCAAATGCATGACTGGGTAGATATCTTGTGCCTTTCAGTGACCCTGGTGTGACAGAACTGCACTGGCATCACAGCAGGTATGGCATGGGTTCTACAAGAGACAGAATCATAGAAACGCTGGCTGGAAGGGATGTCTGGAGGTCACCTAGCCAAACTTTTCTCTCAGAGTGGGACTGTCCCCACAGCTCAATCTGTCATGCCTTCGTCTACCTGAGCTCTGGACACTTGTAAAGGTGAAGATGCCACAGTATCTCCCAGATCATGGAACAGGGAATCTGTTTCAATATTGCACTACTGTCCTGGTGAAGAGCTTTTCCTTTTCAGGTGCAACCTGAACATCTCAAGCCTCAGTCTACTGCCCTCTGTATATAATGGTGCAATTTGTATTTGTAGTATGCAGTATTTGTGATAGTGGTGGCAAGTTACTGAAAAAAAAACCCAACTTTGATCGTTTAGTATTAAGAAAGTTTACTCCATTTTTAGATGATAACATAACACAGAGATCTTTTATTTATTTTTTTGTTTGTTTTTGAGGGAGCATAGGCTATTTGTCTCTACAATACTTATCAAGCAAACAGAAAAATTCATGTTACAACTTCCTAACAAAGTTTCAGTGCTTGTTAGCCTTCATCTAGTATCCAATTCACATTGATACAGATTTCCTGAAGGTGTAAAAATTGTGGTTTCATAATAATTGCGTTCTTCATCACTAAGGTTCTTCTGGTGGTCAGTGTGTTTTTTCTCACTGTCTGTTAGATACCCTTTTAAGGTCTCTGTCTTGAATGATCAAAATCTTCATCACGGGCATTAGGAGTCTGTGAATTAATATGTCTGTCTTGACCTGTACACAACTGTATACTTCCAAGTTTTTGCATCTCATTATAGAAGAAACAAAGAGAAGTTGGGTACAGCACACTTACAAAAAGCAGCAGTGTATAATATTATGCACATAATTCATAGAAAAGCCACAGGACATATATATCTTCAATTTTTGCATGTTTTCTAGTTACTGCATAAACAGCAGATGTAGTTGCTGTTGTCTATGCCCCAGTCAGTTAATGGTCAGCCAGAAGATACTATGCAAAACACTATGACATCCATAGTGTTTTGGTCCTCGCTAGGAACTACTGCTAAAAGTGAGATGAAAAATCCTGCAAATCCTTAGCGTACCCACATCTTCTAGAATGATGTTTGTGTCTCTTCAGATGGCTCAAAACCCATGTTGCTTTTTCCTTCTTCAGCATAAGGGTTCACCTCTTGACAGTTTGATCCTGCTTCACCTCTCTTTTCTCTCTGTTTCCTGTAATGAAAATTCATTTTATATTAGAAGCCTCTGTTCTGTTGAAGTCCTTCTGGATCCCCAGAATCCCCTGCTATAAATAATACCGTGTTTAAATGGGAATCTTTATATAAAAGGAATTGTATTGGTTTTAAAGAGAACTGTAGCAAACCTACCACATTCTTAGAAACACCATTTATAGAAACACATAGAAAACCATTCCAGCTATGTTGCTGTTAATGCAGTAATAGTTAAGGAAAATTACGTTACTGGACAGCCTCCAACAAGATTACTGAAAACTGCAGGTACTGATGAATGTGGGCTACTCTGCTGTTGGAAAAGGCACTGTGTTCCCAGCAGGTCACTCCATCAATCTTGCAGCGGGGCTGGCAGAAGCCTGGCCCCTCACAGCTCCCTGCAGCCACAGCATCCAGCTGTGATGATGATGGGGAAATTGCACTAAGCTGCCAAATCTGCTGTGCACTGAAAAGCAGTGAGCTGAACCTTTAGCTATCACTGTTGTTGAGAGGGGAATAATAAGCATTAATTCCTTAACTTGCTTCAGTTAGATTTGGCAGCCCGTTTATGAGCACCCTGGAGATTCAGTCATCAGGACGTCTTCCAGTGATCATGATCATAGTATCAAAAATATTACTCACTTTTTGCGATCTCTATGACCAGTGATGATCAAGACAATAACTCCAATGACAACCAAGCTAATGACCACCCCAAACACAATTAACCATGTGGTGACAGGTGGTTCATAAGGTGTGGCCAAAGTTGGAAGTATGCCCACAAACTCCAGCGTGTTATCATCCAGTCTGAAAGCATCATTGATTCGTCCCCAAGACATCCTGGTATTGAGAGCAAATTCAAAGAGTTTTGCATGTTTACTGGAAGCATACGAACAATTTTCAGTTGTTTTATAAATCTCCAGTGTCAGCTTCCCCTGAACTGCTCAGTTGGAAAGGCTGCACAGGAGGTACTGCTAAACCTATATTCCTTCTGGCATGGGTTGGTGAGTGACAACCACAGTAACTTAAGCTCTTAACATGTTGCAGCTTAGCTGACATGTTCAGACACTTCATGTATGAACTCTTAACCTCAGCCTTAACATGTATAAAAATGAGGCAAACAGCCTTCTGATCTCCCTTTCTATTTGCATTTCTCCCCTGATTACCTTAAGTGTGTCAGCTATCCATAAGTTTCTTGAATATGTGATAGAAACCACAGCTTTGAAGAAAACCACAGAAGACCTGGTTCGCTCCTACAGTGTTCCATAGTTTGGATTCTTGAGTTTTTCACTGCCCTGAAAATCCTTTCTCTGGTGTATTTTCTGTGCTTTGTTTTTCCTTGAACTTCTGCTATTGAGTGCTACCCAGACAGTGACTATCATAGCCATATTCTTCTCCCTTGGTTCACCAAATTATCCCACTGCTTTTTCAACCCCATCTCATGTTCTACTGCTTTTAGATCTGTGCCCTCTTCGTTTCCCGCTGTACATTACCCGTGACCAACTGCAGAATTGCAGTTTTACTTGTCATTTTTCAGCAGTGACTTACAGTAGTGTCATACTGTGCTATAAAGAGCTTTTCACTGATCCGTAAGTAGGAACTATCTCCTATTCTGACCTCTTCTTTTCTGTATAATTGAATAAATCTGGCTATCTTCCTAATACATCATTGTTCTGGAGTCCTTGCTGACAATAAATCTTGCACTGAATTTTCACTAATGAGAGGAGAAAACACACGTGCATTCACACACAATTACTGTACTCTATATTTCAGAATATAAGATCCTGTTAAAGTTCGAGTAATGATGTTTTCTGGCAACATACGATTCAATTACATGTGTAACGGCAGTTTTACAAGCACCCTGAAGCATTTTACATTGGCTGTTGTCCAAGACACCATCTGACAGATAGACTGTTTTCTTTCTGTCATAACAGTTTCTCCCATCCTGTTATTTCTGCTAACTGCAGAACTGACTTTCTTATCATCCCTTCTGCCTCAGCTGACTTAAGCATTAGTTTCCCTTCCACTCTTTCACCTGGTGGTTTGGTTGTTGGGGTTTTTTCTTTCCCCAGAGAACAAAATCTCACCTGATGGCATTTTCCACTTCAGCTTTGGGCACGATATCACTGATATTACCTGGCATGCTGACAGTAAGGAAGAAGGAGATCCTTTTTGTCTGTTTCCCAACATGAATGTCTGTAGTTCTGAATGAGAAACAGAAGAAAAAGGTTTTTTTAATTGCTGAGATGACATTAGCTTTAAATTTGGGCAAGTGAACAGCAGCGATGGGAAATGCCAAGGGGTTAGTTTATTTAAGTTAAGTTATTTAAGTGAACTCTTCCTAGTGACCTCAACTGGGAATTGAAATAAATTTCCTCACAGAATTTCTTTTTCTATGTGCTAATTCTTTACTTAGATGAAGAAAATATATCCTGTACCTTTTCCAAAGCACATAATCAGCTGCAGAAGAAAAAGTGTTCAAGGCAGGTCTTGTGAATGAGGTGATGTATGAAGTACCTAATAATTTTTCCTTACATCCTGCTGGTCGTAGGTCCTAGGTATTACATGGCTGATGTTCTATAAAGCAGTATCAAGTAGCTTAAGTAGATAGCCTGAAAAAACTTTTAAGACACCTAGTAAAAAGAGTTGTTTTCGTACCAGAATCAATTTCAGCTGACTTAGATAAGATTAGTAAGTCTGCATGGAATTCTAGTGTTTTGTAATCAGCAAATTTATATTTCCTTGGCCCAAAACCTCTTGTATCATACACATACATTGTTAGAAATGTATATTCACTGATATTCCCATATAGGTGTCAAATTCTCAAGGCTCACTTTGACCACTGATAAGCTGTGGAAGGCAAAGCCTTCCACATCCACTGAAGTGACCTAACCTTAGCACATTATTCCTAAACTTCAGACTCTTGAGTGAAAAGACAGCATGTAACAAAGCTGGCATCTTACCTTTTGCAACCAGCTGGTGTTTACTATCACCTTACATTTGACAGAAGGCACAATTAATTCCACTAATTCATGCTGCTAGCGAACCAGAAGCAATATAGACATAGCTGGCACAATTAAGCAAGTCACTCACTGGAAGTTAACTTCCTGTTGCTTCATCTCTGCGAAGTATTTTCTCATGGCATAGGCGATGGATGACTTAAACAGGAAGAGCTCGCTTTCATCCCATTCATACTGCAGAAACAGCACAAGAGAAATTCATCAGAGATGGCAAGTTACCTGATACAAAGAAATCATTCTAAAAAGAAATAGCAATTGTAATGCTTGGCATGCACTTCAGTATTATTTGTTTGTGCCATAATAGCACTTCAGAACCTACTCAAACCTTTTAGCTCTGCTCACCTGACTGCCTTGCAAGAGAATAAACATGCAGGCAGCCCCGCTGCCAGACTCTGCATAATGCTGTCCCTCTGCAATTTCTGGTACCTTTACATGGGGTTACTGAAAGTGCTGCCAGCCCATCTCATCATTTTATTTGCAGACCTAGTCTTTTAAGAAGGAGAAACTTTGGGGTGGGGTTCTTGTATGAAGGTGGCTTATTTATTTGCCTGATGTGCTGGGATTTTGTTTGGGGTTTGGTTTGTTTCAGTAAAACCTCTTTTCATCAGTATTTCTGAAACAGGTATGTAATTGTTGTTTTTCCTGAGGAATAGAGAGGTGATACAAAAAAAATGCACTGCCTGTGTGCAGACTCATCCTGACCTGCCTTATGGGTCCAAAGTTATTTGCAATGGAAGTCAAAACCAGGTTCTCAGGGGCAGGAACTGAGGACTGTAGACAGGGCAAAAACCACCACAGGAGCTGGTAATGCAGCCTGCTCTGTTGTGCAACACTGTGTGTGCACGAAGGGAAAATTCCTGTCTGAACTCTGTGGCAATATTTTTATCCCCCTAGATTTGCCTAGATTTGATTGTGTTTATGGTATCTGAGCAGGAATAAAAAGCTGTCAGTAATAGTTTTACACAGCTCCAGACCTTCTCCAGAATCATTCTGGAAGGTGTGGTTGAAGTCAGCTCTGTTGTAACAGGTTTTGTAAAATCCGTATTTCAACCCTGTCCTCCTCTTGACACTGATATAAACTGAAAAAGGACACATACAATGGAGGAAAGAGCAGAAAGAGCCTGCTGTTGTCAATTCATGCAGTATCGGGCCCCAGGAATGCACTGGTGACCCAAAGCCAGCGTGTGGAGGGCAGGGGCTGTGCTATCTCTGGCTGTTCCCACCAGCAACGGTTGAAGCTGTGAACCACCTTGGCCTTGGCAAATGCCCCCGGCTTTCTCCTGTTTGCTGAGCGGCAGGCAAAGCCCTGTGCCGAAGCACTTCTTTCTTCTTGTTACAGCAGTTACCTCCAGCAGCCGGCAGTGTTCAACATCGCAGCCTAGGATGCTGCTGTGGGGGTTTCTCAATTTTTCAATTCACAACATCTTTAGACTCTGCAGTGCTTTTTGTCTTTTTTTTTTTTTTTGATTTTTTATTTCTTTTTAAACCAGGAGCTAATTGAGCTTGATTCCTCTACTGCTGCTTTCTGTACCTAGCATTTTAGCTTTTATTGATTCATTTCCATAGCATATATTTTGTCTTTTTACTCTAATGTATTTTAATTGCCACTATGCCTCTCAAGTGCCTTTACAAATACCATTACTGGTTGTGTGCATGGGAAGTACCTGGCTGGCTTCTGATCTGTATTTGAGTAATGACTACCCACACACCTTCCCTAGGCATCTCGGAAACCTCCCTCGGTTCTCGTTGTTCATTAAGGAGGCTGCTTTGCTTTTGGAACAAAATGAACTTTGCTAAGTGCCTCTGCTCTATTATAGCATGTTCCCTCCAAGATCCCATGTGTGAGTTGAAAGGCAGTGTAAGTCTGGCCTCCGATTCAAAAAGGATTTTCCATTGTAAAATATGTCCAAATGCCCGCCAGCTGATATCTCCCCATTCCCTAACACTGTCACGTGTGACAGCCTTTTACAGTGTAATCAGATGTATGACCCAGTGGAGAATCTTGAATCAATGTTTGAAGAGGGGTCCTGTTTTCAAGTTGTGCTCAGGGGACAGACACTCTGGAACCTTTTAATTTAAATAGCACAGACCCCGTGTGATCCGGCAGGGGTCTTGTAGCAGTTTCCCTTGGGAGGGCAGTTTTCATAAAGCCCCAACTGAAGCAAAAGCTGTGGGTGTTTCAGCCTCACTGGTGTTTCAGCCTCACTGATGATCCAGCAGTGCTACTGCTGCAGCTTTAATCTCATCAGCCTGAAAACAATTAGCAGGGTAGTTGCAGCAGCACACGCTCTGGTACAGCTGGTATAAACCCATCCATGATTCTGGGAGCTTAAATTGCAGAACTTTGGCCTACTGAAACATCCCTGCTGGTAACAGCCAGGGTATGCAGCTGAGGGGTGCAGGATTGCCTGCGTGAGCTCTCTGCAGAGAGAGGGGATCTTTCCCTTTCTGCTCAAACCAGTGCTAAAAAGCAGAAATACAAAAAGATTTGCTGGCGTACTCAGAATGTTTTCTGCTGTCCTAACAGTGCAAAGCAGTTCAAAATACATCTTAAACAAATAGTTGCATCAGGTTCCCAGCTTCTGTGTGCTCTGAGCCGTGTAAAACAGTCAAACATATTGCTCTGTGTGGTTGGGCTGAGATTCCTGCCTGAGGTTCTCTCTGCCTTTTCTCTATGCCACTTCATGCATGTACCATTACCCGTTGCTGGCATACAAACATGCAGAGTGATGTGCCTGGGAGCTCAGTATAAGAGAAATCTGTGGGGAGACAGAAAGCTACTGTACAGGAAAGTTTGCTTGAATGTTGGTGATGTGGACTGGTTTTGAGAGGAAAATGCATGGCTTGCTCTTCAGAGCTTTGGAACCTACTGTCCATACAATAATTCAAATTAAGTAATCTGTATGAGATTGTTTTACAGCTGCTCAATTGTACAACAAAAGACTATGATGGCAAAAGACAGGCATAAAAATGGTATTAAGCTAAACATTAACCATAATGACTAATAAATGTGTTGTAATATGTAACCTTTTCATGCTCCTGATATCAATTTTGAATTGTATCTAGCTCGACTCAGTGGTCTAGGAAGCAATAAAACTCCAGTGGGGTTTGCATGTGAAAGAGTAATAGAAGGGAGAGTATCAATTCATATGAAAAATGAGCTCACGGTATTGTGTCCTTGCTAGTCCAATAGGCTCCAACATGCCGGTCTAAATGACCTGCCTGATGACATACTTATTCCTGGAAAATTACTAATGTTCTGCAAGGTGAAAATGGCTATTGACAGGAGTGAAGTGCCTGCACTTAAGCCTTCCATGTCGCCTCTCTGAGATTAGTATAAAGAGTCACAGCTAGACTAGGGAGGAAATTTTCAGCCTAGGTTAAGCAGATGGGCTAAGACAATGCTCTGTCTAAAATCGTAAAAACCATCTTTGGCTTTGATGAGTTTTTCCAGTTGCTGTAATGAATTTTGTTGGAGCAGCTGATATAATTGGGGAAAGCAGACAAACTCTTGGGAATGAAAGCCCTTCTCCTTGTCTGAAACAGAAGCAGCTGTGTTGCCCCCCACAATCTTAATAACAAAGCTGTCTCTGCATAAGAGTTGGAGGGCAGGGAGGCAGCCAAATATATCAGGGCCTTGAAAGATTACAGCAAACAGGCAAACAAAAATCTACAAAGGAATGCTGACAGAAGTGTATCAGCATGAAATCAAGAGCATTTGAGAATAGCAAGTGGGATTCAACTCCTCTACATTAAGCCCCACATTCAAATGTGAAGTAGCTGCTCTAATAGTAATTCCTGAAGACAGCCACTGTAGCATTCATAAAGGAAATTAGAGGAAATTAGATAGAGGCTTTGTTTAGACACATCAGCATAGCTGGGAAAAATATAGCCATTTTCAGGTACACAGTCTCCCCTATGCTACCCTCCAGGCGTGTCCTGTAACAGGTAAAAATTATCAGTATTTCTACAGAATAACTCATCTAACTGGGATGTCTGCCTTAAAATGGGTAGAATCACTCCCTGGAGAGGTCCCTCTACTAACTGTAGTGGCAGTCTTGAGCACAAACTCAGACAAGACATCTTTTACGTGATAACCCTTCACCTGAGCTGAATCCACTCTTCAGACACAAAGATCAGCTATACCCTGCTTTATTTTCTGAGAACCATTAGTACAACATCTCTGTTGCCCAGGCAATGGGAAGAGTGCCACAGCACAAACATACTTACCGCCTGGTCTCCCAGTGCTGACTTCAGGCTGATGCGCACTTTGATGGCATTGTCGGAATCTGGTTTAAAAAGAAACAAGGGCTGTGTCACAGCTGTAGCGACAGAAAGTCTGTCCCTGGGAAATGCTGGGGTGGCTAGAGTTTCCTTATAGGTTCCCCTGCTTCAAATGGCCAGCTTGGTGGGATTGATCTTGTTTCCCTTCAGCCACCTTTACTGCAAACATCCGCATCTGAGCTGCCAGTTGCTCAAGTTTGGCTTTGTAGTAGACAGAAAGAGTGAGTACATCTAGAGTGCAGTCCTCTGGTCTTCTTTAAACATCTCTCAAAGGAAATGCCTCTTTCCCACCATTGAGAATGAGCAGCTCAGATGCAAATTTTGGTTTCTGTTTGTCTGGTTAGATAAATCCCACCATTAGGCACAGCACTGTGTTACGGTATGCTTCAGTACTAACAGTGATTGCACGTATATAACATGGGTGGTTCAGCACTCAGTGTCACCACAATAGGCTGAAAGATGCATTTCCTCCCCTTGAGCTCCCTTCTTTGACTAGCACATGACAGAAAAAAGAAAGAAAAAAAGAAGTAGTAATTTTACTGTACTGGTTTGCCCCTGTGCCCCCAGCTCAGGGTCCTCTGCTTCCCAGAACTGGTGACTCCTAGCCCTGCAGAACAGGCACACCACTCTCAGGCCAGCACCACACAAGTCCAAGCATTTGGTCTTTCTTTCCTCTGCACAGCCATCCTGAATTCTTAGTGCTGCCGCTACTGAATAACATAAACTATTTCTGAAAACTGATGAGGCTGTGACCCACCTCATGTGTGCCAATTTCTCCAGCTTTGGCCATGAGGAAGCTGGGCTGCCTTCCCATGAGTAAAACTTACTGCTCAGTGTGTACTTCCGAAAACCCCGTTTCCCTAGGGAGAAGAGCCTTCAATAGCAATGAGAGAGAGGGACTTTGCTGATCAAGGGTTGTGAGGACTACTGAGTGTCCTCAATCCACCCACAAGCCATACGTACATGGAGCCCAGTCTGTTTTCCAACCAATGTATCTGCCAGAGTTGTTTTTTTGCAGCCAATTATATAAAGGTTCGAAGTACTGGAGCAAGGGTGCTGCATTCATGTATTTCTCTCCTGTTACACTTTCCAGTGCCTGAGTCCAGGGCTTGGATCTGCCTAATTCAAGCAATTGTCTGTATACATAGAAGGAGAGGTAATATATGTTATTGCTACGTTCCATCTAGACATCTAGCAAAACAATCTGGAGCAGTATCAAAGTTTTCTGTTTGCTTCTGAATTCCCTCCTTCCTCCCATCACTCCTATTAATAAAAATAAATTATTTTCCCATTAACAGGTGAATAAACCTTTGATGTTTAGATCCTCAGTGGATATAAACTTAGTCAATTTATCAAAATAAACTGAGTAGATAAATGCTAAATTTTCAAGCTAGGTTCATTCTAGGTTCCTTCTAGGTTCATTGACTACAGAAGCTTTCAAGGATGAGTTAGGCTTTGTTATACTCTCATTTATTATGTGTAAGAAATTTGCTTTGTTACCTCAGCTTCTGACCAGCTGCACTGGAGTTGGTAATGTCACATGTGTGAAGAGGGCCAGTATGGTTAGCTGCTTTGCAAAGTGCCTCCTGAAACTGGAACTGGTAGATGGTCCGGGTGTAATACCTAATGGAAGGGCAAGGATAAGGAAGGCACAGGTTTTGTTAGTCATCTGGCAAGGAAACCTATAAGCCCTTGGTCTTTGGAGAGCTCTGCCGTGTCAGCTGGTGCTCCTGATGATATTTATAGGCTACGCTAAGTCAGATTTAACAAAATGCCAAGATCAAATCAGCAGAAGAGCCCCAGATCTGTTTGCTGACACTTAAACCAGGAGCAAGTAAGGTTTTTAAGGCCCAACCCTCTGCTCCAGCTGGGCATTCTAAAATGAGATGGCTGGGACATAGAGGGACATCCAGAGTTAGTTGCTTCAGGGCTGCATGTGCATGTCCCAAGTGACAGTGGTACAGGGTACACTGTCTCCTCAGAAGGCAAGCACCTCATACAGATGTGCTCCCAATGGTTTGATGATGGTGCGAAGCTTCTCTGCTCCACAAGAAGCTCAGCAGCCTCCTCACTGCTTACATGTTGCTATGCAGCAGCTCCTGCTGTTCACAGAAAAATTTCCACTGAAATCAGTGACCTGATCAGGACTCTAAACAAAGTAAGATTGTGTCCTGAGACTCCCCACTAGATGTTTTAGGCCGCTGGGGCTTGTTCTGTACCTAGAATGTAAGGCATTAATTAAACACTGAGCTACCTTATAAACGAGTAATCGTTAGCCACATGAAACAGCACTGCAGGGTCGCAGTAGGTTTCATCATGAAGGACTGGTTCAACAACGCCAACTATTTCTCTCCTGGGATGAAGGAAAAACATGGGATTTCTGTTAGTAGATAATAAGGGGGGGAAAAAACCTGACTCTGCTCATCCTCTGTATTTTCTGATACGTACAGGCACCTCTTTCACTTCCAAACAGAAGTCCATATGGCTCACAGTAACCCCAAATGAGTATTGCTCCACAGCTGGAGATCACAGAGAAGAAGCTGCTTTGAAACTGATAGTGCAAGGAAGGGATTTTTGTGACAGCAGAGTGTGCAGGGAGTAATTAGTGGAATGAAATAATCTACAAGAATAAGCTTCATGCATACACCTCATGCCCTGGGCCACCCCCAGTTCAGAGACTAACACTTGCACGCTTTGTGCTGTATGGCCCGTTGTGCCACTGGGCTGGAGATGAGATTTCTCTTTATTTTCCTCTCCTGAGAGTGTGATTCTTGAGTAGTGCTATGGAAACAAGCCCATGCCCTAAATTCTGAAAATAGTAATAAGCTTACAAGGAAATATTTTCCGTAAACCTGCATTTCAAGGTCTTGCCCCAGCAGAGAGCTTTGCAATGCTGCTACAACAGGTGTGATAAGCTTCTCTGAACAATTCATCATTCTCCATTTTCTGACATGTCTGCTACTTTTGAATAAATTGAAGCTGACTGATTTTTACAGTGGGTCAGAAGGCTTGCTTATATCAAATTTTGTTATAGATTTTGTTCGCTGATGGAGTCTTGCTGTTCGTGGTCATGTTAAGAGTTCAGACTCCATTTTCAGTTTGGGCTTGTTAGGGTTCTTTGCATTTTTCTGCCCCCATGTTAGCCAACCTGGGAAATGACAGTCTCCAGTTTGAATCAAACCATTTTTAATCTTGAGCTCCAGGGTGCTGAAAATAGATTGGCTGGTGGGCATAATCTGAAAAGACACCTCAGGACACTCCTTGTCAAGGGAACTGTATTTTCTTGATCGAGAAAGGTGGTATCTCAATAGGAATGTAAAGGATCAGTCTAGAAACTTTCAGACAATTTGCCTCCAAAACCACATGAGAATGGGGAGAGAAGAGTGCACAGATATGTGGTAAACTGAGGTCCCTGTGCTTCTCAGGCTGGCAAGTATGATGAACTTCACTTTCCACTTGTCCTTAAGGAGGTGGGAAGCAAACCAGAGTTTACGGCCGATGAGACTTAAGGAAGGGCTATACCTAAGTGATGAAGATGTCTTGGGGCGTGCACTGGGGAAATGGCAGCGTTGATCCTGGGATCTGGAACATCCCATGTGAAGGCCAAGGGCTATCTTTATCAGAGGAGCTGACATTAGAGGTGAGGGGAAAGTCTGCTGAGAGGCAGGGTAAACTGCTGGGGGCTATACACAGTGCTAATGGCAGCACACTGCTTGTGAGATGTCTGCACCACGCTGAGCATTTCTAGCTGATATTCTACCAGGCTCTGTAGAAACAGCCTGAGGGAAGATCCTGCCCTATGGGGGCACAGGCACTTCACTACATTGAGTAACTATGAAGGGTTGGTTTTGCAGGTTCATTTGCAAAAAATTGCTTTTGTTTCTCAAACTTACTTCATCTCCCACCACCACTTCATCCATTCCTGACACTAAACACCATCCACCTCCACTTCTCCAGCATGTAAGTAAAAGGCATTGTTCCAACAATCGTTAGTGCTTGTTTGAGCAGAAAGTTGATTTCTGTTTCTGAAGAGAGAAGCAGTTAAGGTAATGGTTATGGTAGCAATTAGTATCTGATTAGACAGCTAAAGTTGCTTCTTTTTACAGATAATACTTACATCTGGTTTGAATAACAGATTTTCACTAAATAAAAAGTGAATACTACTGAAAAAAACAACATAAGTAAAGATCACTTAGATACTGTATACAGTTTTGTCCCTTTCTTCCCCCCCTACCTCTTAAGTAACCTAGCCTTTTGGCATTTACATTTCACTATATACCATTGGAAATCTTCCCAGGCTTTGGGGAATATCAAGCTGAAGACATTTCAGAATTTACAAATTGTACATCTCCATCTTTATAAGGTAACACTCAGAGAAGCCAGACAAAACGCATTATAATGAAGGCCTATGTAATTTGTCCACTAAGTATCACTTAAGTGGGAGATGGAAATCATGTTTCCATCTTTGGTTTCATTTGAACTGCTAAATACATACATTGGTAGAGATAGGTATGGATTTATGCAACAGAAATTGAAAAGACTATTGGAGGCTCATCTAAATGAACTTGAAGATTTGGGAATGAGTTCTTCAGTACTGAAGATAATGAAGTGCCAGATATTCGTTTCTAAATTACATCGCAGCATTATAAAGTAGTGACTTTTGCTTCATGATGTGATCTGGGAAAAAAACCAAAACAGTATTTCTGGTAAATTAGTGGGGTAAGACTTTCAGAAGCCTCTCAGCTCATCACTCGGTCTGCAGATACAATCTTCTGCTACAAAATAAGACCTGCAAGTGTTTTCACATAAATATGCAATATTTATGCATGTATTTACCTTCATCCTCTTGGAATGTTGGCTCTAGGAGGTCAAGAGATTTCAAGTGCTGAGGGGTGGCTGCAGAAAGTGACATAATTTCACCCACTGCTTCATGGAAGCCCTCATTGGCACCATCTCTTAGCAGGAAGGGCTGCACAGAGTACGCCATGTCGTACTCAATGTGGCCCATCTCATGGTGCGCGGTCAAGAAGTCGTCCATGGTCACTTTGGTGCACATCTTGATCCTGCATGCCAGAGCAACGTGTTTGTGGTTAGAGAGACAGTGGTCCAGCCATCTGCTGCCTAAGCCCTGCCTGCAAAGCATCCTCCAGAGACCACAAACATTCATTGCCCCTTGCAAAACCTGGGCAAACACATCCTAGCATGGGGTGCAGTTCCTCCTGCAAGAGCTATACTTGGATGGGGAAGTCAGCAGAACACTTCCACTCACCCTGAAATTGTGCTGGGGGTAAGAGAAAATTGCACTCTGGAACTTTGGCAATAAACTCACTGTGTTTGTTGGAGTGAGAACCCACCAACAAACGTAGGCAGAGAGTAATGTAAAAAAACCTGTGTGCCACTGGCTCTGGCTACTTCAGCCTCCCATAGGCACTATTTAATAATGGAATTTCTTCTAAATAGGGTTTCCTTTCACCTTCCTCAGACTGCTGAAGTGTGAGGTGTGAGGCTGGCAGCTTTCACTAAGGCCCTGCTGGGGACCAGCCCTTTCCCCAGGTAACTGTGGGGACCGCAAGAGGGGACAGAATTTGCCCCAGGAGACTTCCCTGTGTGGGAATTTGCTGTTCTTCTCCTTTCCCAAGTATGAAAGGGACTGATGGATTTTCATGAAACTGGATATATCTGCTAAAGATAGACGGTGGGCTCTCAGGTTTTCACTTGCAATTTAGGGACCCTGTCCCATTGCTGCAGAGTGGGCAAGTGTCCACAAATCTCACTGGTATCCACAAGCACCAGCATTTATGCTTATTCCCTAAGCTCTAGAACATAGTCATTTCTCTAATTCATATAAATTTGATAGTAATCATTAGATCTTCACAGAAAAAGTTACCCAGAAAGGTTTACAGTCCCACAGGATGCCTGCTCTTTTGTCTTCCTTTCCCATCTTATCAGCTAGAAGAAAATAATGAATAAGGAAAAAATATAACTTACACCAGCATGGTGCACTGTTAGTGAAAATATGAATGTTCTAGGAGATGGTGTAAAAAGGGGTTATAGTAGTTGCATTACCTGTAGTCGTTTTTCCCCAGATCCCATGCTGTAGGGTGGCAGACAACCTTCCTGCCATCTGCCGGCTCTGTAAGCATGGAGTTATTCCAGAAGCCCTCAGTCATTTCGTCGAGGCCGACGGAGGTGAAGAAGGCCTCAGCGGCTTTGAATATTCTCATTGCATCCCACTGCTGAAAGAGACAATGCCACCATTAATCACTGCTTCCCACAGAACCTGTTCCCAACGGCTGGCTTAACACAGGACAGCTGACTTCATATTTATCTTCCACCAACTTCAGACCAGCACCTAATTTTTTGAGAGTAAGATGGTAGTGTTTGCCTTTGGCACTTCTGTAAATTCTGCTGGGAGCTGGAATTAAGTGTTTTCCCCACAAACAAAATAGGTTTCTGCACTCAGAAGTTCAGCAGATAGCACCTAGCCCAGACCAGAGAAGCCCTCAGTCAAAGATAAGGTAATGCAGATAAAAAAGGCATTCCTCTCAATAACATGTCAAATCTGGGATTCGACCCTTAGGCTATTTCAACTGGGGACAACTCATTTGAGGGAGTGGAGCTGCACTCCCAGAAGATGAGTATTAGAGATCTCAGCCAGAACCGTAATACCTGGCAAATGCATCTAGAGGATTTGTTTGTCAGATCGTAACTGCATGGTAATGTTCAAAACATTTTTGTCATTCAGCATTTTTATTATTCTACATAGCAGGACCTCTGCTTGTACTGGACTGAGTTTTCACAGAGATTTAGGTGGCAGGCAGCTCAATTGGATGAGAATCCTAAACTGGGCACATCCACTAACAAGGATGAGTCCAGCCTTTGCCCCAAGGCTCTGTAAGTAATGCTTTCCTCCTCACAGTGGGACTAAAATATACACAAATTTATTACCACAAGAGGGTCAGTACTGTAAAATAGAGGTGACATTAATGCAGACTTGTGCAAATTGCTTATGAATCAAATACCTCCATTCCTTCTCTTGCCAGCATAACTTTTGCGTGGAGTGCTCCCTATGAAAGGAGGGTGAAGGGTAGATTTCAGGTGAATAATCACATTTCAGAAATCAAATTCCACAGGAGCTTCACTTCTTTTATCTTACAAAAGGAGTGAATCTTAGTCACGACTACAGAGATTTATCTTCACCCATGTTCTCGTTCTGGTAAAGGCGCTGTCACAGCTTTTAGCACTACAGATCTCAAACACAGACCTTATGGTGCTTTGCGGTTATCAAAAGATAACAGGCAGCACTGCAGTTTCCTAGCTGTATTCAAATAAGCAAAACTGGCAAAAAAAAAACCCCAAACTGCAATACACAATCTATTTGATTATGGTAATGGCTGGCAAAGGTCATATTTGATATCAGCCAACTCCGTGACTCCTGAAATATTTATGTGTACAAAATATATCTCTTAATGGATAGAGGTCTCTGAGGAAAATAGATGTGGAGCCAAGATTAAGCCAGTCAGAGAGTGGAGAAGAAAGACAGAGGAACAGCTAAGGGAAAAGGTACAGTGCATGAACACATTAAGGTGAAGAGCAAGCAAAAAAGGATGCTGAAAGCAATGTTTTGCCTTAGGGCAGCTATGGTTTTCTAAAAAGCAGCTGAGATCTGCTGTATAACTGTTATTGCATCTAGATTTCTTACATAATGCATATTGCATAAAAGCATGTCTTACCTTTTGAACCATTGTAGAAGTTACATCAATGTTGGGTTTGGCTGGATAGGGAACAGTCAAGGCATACAGATTTGTCCAAAATCTACCCCACATATCACCTTCAAAAAAAGAAAGAAACATAGAAATAATTTAAATGATGGATTATGTATTGTTCAAAAGTGCCAGACAGTTCTAGGAATTGTGCAGTGTCATAAACAGGTATTCTATACATCTAATCAGGTCTGATCCAGCTATGGAGGGCAGCAGTTCTAGGAAGTCATGCATAGGTCTAAGTCAGATCACAGATCCGTTATTCCACAGCATCAGCTATTCTTGTAAAATAAAGTTGCAGGATGGGTCACCTCCCTAAAGGTCTCTTCACAACTGAACATCCATGTTTATAGTCCACGTGATTGTTGCTGCCATGTTCATGTACATTAAAGTTACTGCAGCTTGATGCTTCAAATATTGGAAGCAAAGCTGTGGAAATGTGGGGGCTTAGATTAAGATGTAAAAGGCAAAACAGGTCTCTTTGAAAGTCTCATTTCTAAGGAAGACAAGTGCTGCACAGGGGAGGGAAATGTCCCAGCCCTGTGTTGGAGTTTTGAGCTGAGAGTTACCAGCTTCCAGCAAGGATGAGGACACCTGCCTTCCCTACCTGCCACTGCTGCTAAGCACCTGTGTCATCTCTGCCAGGGACTTTTACTCCATTTCTCCTCTCCCTTTCCTTATCTGTAACCTGTTTGTTAATATCCTGATTAAACAGGCAGATTACTCTCTTCCTATATGCCTTGAAGGGGTCTGCCCTGTGTACAAAGTCAGGCTTGCATGACACGGCAGCATTGACATACCCAGCAAGTGAGCAGGCAGGCATCCTGTGGAGCTGATGAGCTCGGAGCCGTAGACCTGCTCCAGCTGGTGCCTCACATAGGCATGCAGCTGCTGGTACAGAGGTTTTATCTGGAGGCAGAGGAGGAGAAGGAAACAAATTATTTTCTCTTTGCTCTACGCCACTCATCCCTCGTATTAAACAGAGAGCCTTAAAGGTGTCTGACAAAGTTGTTCTGGCAGCTAAGTGTACCCCAAACCTGAAGCTGAGCTTTGCCTCAGGGCTCAAGTGCTGAGTCCAGATCCTAGCCCCAGAAGTCCTGCTCAGGTATGAGGGAAGGAGCACTGCTAACTTTACATGAGGAGTATCATGGGGGCCATCTACAGCATGGGAAACACACTTTCCCCCATGACCCCTGCCTGGGGGAGAGACATGGCTCTGCAGAGCTCCCTCTTTCCCAGCCTTTGTCACAGTGCAGCCAAAGGGGACCAAGCTGGTCCTCGAATGGCTGCAGAAGTTAGAACATGTATGTTTTCTAACATCTGTTAGCCCCATGTGGACTAGGATTGGTCAGTTTAAAGCAGGTCTTCCTTCATAACATTGACACATGAGCCCTCCATCACAAAACACAACCCTGTGGCTCAGATGAGAGCTTTTTCCTGCTTCTACCTGCTCAAATGTCTTCTCCACATCTCTAACCAGTTGGTCACGGCTGTATTTGTATTCTTCTGGATAGTCTGCTTCATAATTTGCTCTCCAGTAATCTCCATAGTCAGAATAATCTGTAAAGCACAGATGCATCACATCAGGATAGAATCATAGGATCACAGAATAGTTCAGGTTGGAAAGGACCT